CTTCTATACTATTGAGGGTTGGTAAATGAAATTTGGTGCTATTTAGACTTCTTTTGATGATAATAGCTGTGCCGCCTCCACGGTTGTGAAGTCTGTCCACTCTATGTATATCAAAGTTAGGAATTTTGAAGGAGTCTTCGGGTTTGAGATGCGTTTCGTTTAGGAGAATGACGTCCAGGTTATGTGTATTTATGTAATCTTTTAATTGTAGCGTTTGTCTTTTAATACCATTGCTATTGAAGGATAAAAATTTAGCATAGTTGATATGCGGTCTATTTCTTTGGTTGATTTGTTGTCTGTGATTATACATAATTTTTGGCGTGTGAAAAATCTTTACTGCTTCTAAGGCGATCTTTAATTTGTTGAACTTGAGTATTTTTAAATTTAAGGTAAAGGTCATGTATTTTTGCTCGATGAATTCGACAAAATCATCAAAATCCTCGTCTTTATCTTGAATATATTCTTTTAATTGCGGTTTTTATATTGAGGGGGTTCTTTTGTGGCGGTTTCTTCTTTTTGATGGGTTGGTTCTTTGAGTTGCGGCTGTTTGTTTCCATTATTTTTGGTTGATGCTGTGAACTGCAGCGTATGGATAGAATGGTGTTGCCTGATTGGCTGGGAGTATTGCGACTTGCAGTGCTCCGGGAATTTTGTATTAATTTTTTTCGTTTTCTATGGGTTTTTTAATATTTTCGGTTGCGTTGCCTGGTCTTTCAGGGCATTCAATGCTACATGCTGGGTGAGGCCCTTTGCATAATATACATTGTGCTGGTATTTCCTTTTTAAGACGAGCTGGGCAGTCAAAGGATTTGTGGCTTTCTAAGCATCTGACACAACGAGGTTTGTTGTGGCAAGCTTTTTGTGTATGCCCGTACCGCTGACAATTAAAACATTGTGTTGGGCCGGGTTTTGATTTGTAGCTGATTGCTCTTGTTTTCATGTCAAGTATATGCGTGATTCTATAGATTTGTTTGCCTTCTTCCGTTCGTGGCGTTTCCACGTAGAAAACAGGAAGAAGAGATGGGATGCCATCGCGCATGCGTGTAAGTTGCCTACATTTGAGTACAGGGATTCCCTGTGAAATAAGATCTTCTTTGATTTCGTCAGGTGTAAAATATGTTTCTAATCCTTTTAGGATAACTCTAGTTGTTTTGTCGGAATTTAGTAAGTATGTGTGATAAGGGATTTTTTCCTTGTCAAATTTATTTTGGAGTTTTTTATAATCTTCTGCGGTGACTTTTATTAGACTTTTATATTAGACTAGAATATTATATATTAAGAATTTTATTAGACTAGAATAATTTTATATTAGACTTTTATTTTGAGATTGTCTCCCTCTTTTTTACTCTCGATCTTGGTGATATTTAGGGTTTCTTTTATTTCTGTTCTTAGGTCTTTCCAATTTATATCCTCTTGCGTTATAATGAATGGGGGAATTTTCCCTGCATATTTATGGGGTTTTTTAAAAGTATTTTCTTCCTCTTCAGTGATATCGTCTTCCGTTTGTTGGTTTGCATCAGTGGCTCCATCTGTTGACTCGTCGAGTAGGTTATTGAATTTATTTGCGGTTACTATTTCTATTTCTGAATTGGTTTCACTTTGATTTGAATTTGATCTTTTGTGTCTTTTGGACTTTTGGGGCCTCTTTCCAATTATCTTGTTTGGTTGGGGTACTATATGGGTAGTTGTCTTTGTTGACGAGAGCTTTTAAATCGTTTTGATTGAACTGGTGGTTTAGTAGGATATTAATTTCGTCTATTTCATCGAGGAGTATTTGATAAATTTTTTCTTCTTCTTCCGTTATTTGGGAATTAGCTTTTTTGTTTTCAAGTATGGTAATATTTTCTCTTAATTCTTGGTGCCTTTCGAGGATGTTTTTGATTGAGCCTTTCGGCAAAGTATTGATGCTGTTTGGTGAGACATTTATGGGTATATCTTTGTCCGCTATCGGTGTGTTTAAAGCTGCATCGTGCAGTGCAATTTCGTCGTCTATTCCATTTACAATTATACATGGATCGGAACAAAATATTGCGAAGCTAAAACTCTTCCCCAAAACGTAGCCAGCTCTGCGATATCTCGCCAGTTTAACGAGATAGCCTTTTCCTCAATGTTTAATAGGCTTGCCTATGTTCTCTTACTTTTCTGGCAAAGCTTCTCTTAGGATTTTCATGTTACGTTATGCTTCTCTTAAGATTTTCATGTTACATTATGTAAAAAATATTACAATTTCGCTTATAATTTCAGTGAGAGTACTTAAATATATACAGAAATTCGTAACAGTATGTTTTACTTCTGTTAATATACTTTAATTAAGATGAGCAGTGTATATGAATAAAGACAAATAAACTAGTAAATCAAAAAAACCAGAATGGAATGTGACCTAACTTTGATGAAATGTGCTAACATTTCTGCCATTTTATACATTTTACAAGTACAATTTTTACCAACTTTTTTTCTTTTCAGAACACTATAAGTTTTTAATGAAAATAGTATATAATGAATATATACATTTATTATAATGAAAATAATATATGTGTAGTGTTAAGTGAATTTTTCTTCTGCAAAATTGTGAAGAAATTAAGTTCTTACAAAATGAAAGTCGAAAAAAAAAAGTTTTTATTTCTTAACCTTCAATATCTAGTCCTTGCAAGTCTATACAATCACTGACACGTTAATTCAACTGTTCGGACTCCTTCGCAGAATTTATCTTTTATAGTGCTGTCTAAATCTAGTTGGATTTTCTGAATTTCTTCAGTGCTTTTTAAAGCAGTTAACTTTGAATTGAGGCTTTACTTTGGGAAAGAGAAAACACTCGGTAGCGTACAAATCTAGTGAATGAAGTGGGTGATTGAGATTTGTGTCCGATTTGCTTGCTAGAAACTGCTTAATGATAATGGAGATGTGTGACTTTGCACTGTCATGCAGATGATACCGGTTATCCGAAGGAGCTTTTTCGGCCTAACGCTTTGAATCCTTTTCAGAAGTCTGGCCATCAAGTCTTTATAAAATATGGAGTTCAACAGTTGTCTCTCAGGAGTATATTCTTGTAAATTATAATTTGTCAATTTAACAGTCACTAATATTGCCTTCATTCAAGATTTTGACGTTTTTCCAAGTGATTTTGACGTCTCTCTAGGTGAACCTTTTTCCGTTCAAGAATACATTTGCCGTTTTATCTCAGGATTATTAGCAAAGTATCGAGTTTCATCTCCAGTGCAATTTATTTGAAAAATCATGATCCATGCTAGCCATTTGATCCAAACCCTGACTTGCAAAAATTCGATTTTCTTTCTTTTCAGCTGCAATTATTGCGTGAGGAATAGTTTTTTCCCTTTATTCAAGATCCTTCACAATAATTTTGTGAGAAGTACTTTTACTGTTTTTAAGTTAATCATCTATCATTCAAAGGAATAGGTGATGATTTTTCAGAAACAAATGTCAAATATCTATGTTCTTTTCCATTATACTCCAATTAATTTTTTGAGGTTTCGAATGTATGACGTTATGTATGCTCATTGCATCGAAGCAATTATTAACTGCTTAGAAAATTCTGTCCATAAGTAGACTATAGTCTAGGAACAGCAAGTGTAGTGTCATAATATGTCAATTATCGTTTGGCATGTTTGCCAGAATTTTTTAAAAAATTATACCTAAATATATATAGACGCATTGCTATGCGCTACAGTGTATAACGAAGCTATACAATGCTTATTAATGAATTTTCCTATTTTGGGATTTCGTGATCTGTGTATAGTACTATCTTAATGTACACAGCGCAAAAAAGGGGGGAAACAGTTCTATATCTCCCGTTCTACTGGGCCGATTTCATGTCTTGAAAGTGCGACTTCAGATATATATTAGACTTATATATAGCGTTATTCTAACGTAGGTATTTTGACACAAAATCGGACTTTTTCTGAAATAACATATCATTTTTCCATATTTCGCTTCTACAACTCAAATTATGCTTAGATACTGAAATTTGTAATTTTGGGTGAGAAATTTATGGAGAAATTTAAAAATTTATCTTGGCGTATTTTTTCAGTTTGCGCCAAGAATAATTCACTTAGCGGAATTCTTAATATATAGTAACCTACTTTCTTTTTTTTTTTTTTTTTTTTTTTTTTTTTGCACAAGAGGTCCATCTCTCAAAAAATAAAGGTCAAAAGTGCGCGTAAATGTTTTTATTTTTCTTAGTTATTAAAAGTACTATTTTTCCATTTTAAGGATCAGTTTCCAAATTCTTGCAAATCAGGCCAACATTCAATGTCTTACTTCTATTTCAGCATTCCATATTCTTGATAACGAAATGACGTATTAAATACGTATTAAGAAAATAATAATAATTATGCAAAGGGGGAGAAAAGTAGTCGCTAGCAAGAGTTTTCTTTGCCCATGCCTCTCGCTGCCCAGCCATACCGTCAGAAAACTTTATTGTCGTTTATTTCTTAGCTTATTGGCTTACTTTTCCTCTATAGAAATTAACGTCTCACTCGGGGCTGAGTGGACCGCTGAATGCTGGTAACTTGTCCTGGGTTGAAATTCAATCAAACCAAGGTGCCTGCATGTTTTTTTTTTTTTTTTTTTTTTTCACAAGCCAGGTCTTCTTATAAGAACCTCCATCAGCAAATAATAAGTTAACCCTCCGTTTGCAGCTCCCGCGATTTCCGAGGGGTACGAAATCCGTCTCGTAATATGGGTCGGGTTGCGTGAAAATAGCATGATTAAGTATGTATTTTTTAAAATTAAGAATAGACTATTAAAATTTCTGGATTATACTCATTTTGTTTATAAAGATGTGAATAGTAATATATGAAGATAGAGAATATATAAAAAAAAAAAAAAAAAAAAAAAAAAAAAAACGCCCCGTATTTCAGAACCAGAATGTGTCCAAATCGTGCCGTACGCAGAGGGTTAAAAGAAAGAATATATACATAAGTCTCAATTATTTGAAATATTGAAATTACATTAAAAATTCTCATTAGCCTTTTATCCATCAGATGAATGCGACCCTAAGCTGGAGTTCAGCTGTGCAGACCAAACATGCATAGACGTAAACCTCAAGTGCGACGGACATGATGACTGCAAATATGCCTATGATGAAGAAAAAAATACGTGTGCTCACGGTAAGACAGATATTTTTAAATTAAATAAATTACTAAATTCAACGCACTGCCTGTTTTCCTAACTATTTAATTCCTAACAATCTTATTAACTTTCACATGGTTTAATATTTTTTATTATCTTTAGCTACTGCCTTTAGCTATAATTTATTGTTTTATTAAATATCTAATATTGTAGTACAGTTGTAGAGCCATCAGGTTTTTTTGAAGCAGGTGACGTGAAAAATGTGGAGTACCCTCACCAGTATTCGAACCCTTGACGAACCCTTCTCGAATACGAGTCAAGTGTGCTTCCAATGACACCACAAGGCATGCGGAAAGGAGGGGGAAATGTATTATATACTGTCTCTTTTAAAGAGCGACTGGAGATTAGGGGACACAGTCTCCAAATCTTCATGATGACGAACTATCGCCTACAACCTTTTAGTTCGGCCGCCACTTTGTAGAGTCATTACGCTTTCTTTAAGCAGGAGATATAATAAATTTTCAGTGCACCCGCCGGGACTCGAAGCCTGGACCTCTTGAATACGCATCGAGTATGCTTCCAGTTACACCGCGAAAGCATGCGGAAAGGCGGGAGTAAATACCTTATAGTTCTTCAGAAATATAAGTTTTCAGAACACTAAATTCTGAACTATTAATGATATTTCGATTTCTGTGGTAATAAAAAGTTTAATTTCTCTGCTATTTTTTTTTCTTTTCTTTAAAATTTCAGTTTTATTTATTTGTATGAAAGTTTACATTTCATGTAGCTGTACTAAAAGATATCACACGCAGGAACTGTTGTAATCTAAAGATCTCTCTCATATGGTTCTCTAGTTAAACTTAAATTAATCCTAACGAATAGGAAAAGATTTTATTGACAAAATGGCATTGGTGCAAAGATTGCCTGGCCAAGAGGAATAACAAGAAACCAATGAACCTTAATAACGGATACAATCTCTTCTAACTGCAGTGGTTGCGTTTTCGATACTCAACACCAGATTATCTAACAGTTCTTTGGGTAAGAGTTCCTGTTCTTCGAGCAATTCAGCTGTCTTTTGTTTTTCAAAGGGTAAGATCATGCTGTCAGGTATTTCCCTAAACCTGTACACACCTCTTCAATGAGATTTAAATCAGGGTAGTATGCTTTCCAGTGTACTCCATCCTGTGGATATTTTCGTTTTCCAGAAGCTCCTCAACAGTTGTGTGATCGTGCCTTATCATCCATAAAAATAAAGTCAGGATCAATGGCACCTCGGAAAAGAAGTTCGAGATGGAAGGTAACTTCATTACAAAAATGATCTCCGATAAGAAACCTCTGCCGAAAATGTAGAGCTCTATCTGTCCTTTTCGCGTAATGCCTCCCCATACATGCACGCAATGACGATCTCTTTCCCTGCTGTTAGTGGAATGAAAGCGTGTCTCTACCTGTCTTCACATCAAGTGGCGCCGAAAATTGTATGTCAGACTGAAACGACTAGCAGAGATAAAGAAAATGGGAAACCATTGATGAGGTGTCCAGTCTTTATGTTCTCTAAACTACAATAACAGGTGCTACCGATGGGCTGTAAATAGTCTGCAGCGTTGAAGACGGCAGGCGAATAGCCTACTTTATAAAGTCGTCTGGCCAGAGTAAATCAGGAAACCTGTCGTCTAATAGCCATACGCAGCTGCTGAGCAATGTTGCCCACTGTCTGGTTTTGATCTCTTTAATCCTGCAAGGCGATATATCGGTGATCAGTCACTGTTATACTCCTTGGCCGAGCATGACCAATTGTTCTTACTGCTATAGCTGTCATTTGAATCGGGCGTGAAATAATACCTTTTTTATTTCCAAGCGCTTGAGCCACTACGCCCCTCCTCGATCATTCTATTACGTTTAAAGGCGTCGTGATGTTTACTTATAGAAATACTACACGTACAATCTCACTTTTATGTACAGAAGAATGTCTGAAAACGATCTTTCCATTCTTCATTTTAAGCTGCCTTGTACTGCGTGCGCTGACTGCTTGCTCGAGTTTTGCGTGCCCTGACGTACTCTTGGATGTCATAGTGCCAATATTTTCAGACGCATTCATCTTTCTGTTTTCGACTAATATTCTCTATCAATGAAATAGACTTGTACGTTTCGTAAGGCGGCTATCAATTCTTGGTGTAAGAGAAGGTATATCGCAATTACTGCTATTTCAATAGTATCCAAACAATCTCTCAACTTATGCCAAGTAAATGTGAACTTGCGTTTGTTGAAGCTCTTAAAAGATTCAAATTGGACTGCGTAAATATTGCATTAAAACGGCCTTTGTTTGGTATCATCTTGGAGATCTCAAGGAGAAGATTGGATTGATATTGGTTTCATCTGGATCTCAACAGCTATTCAAAAGATACTGACATTTGAATTTTTTCACTTTAAGACTTAAAGTTTATCAAGAATCAACAATCAAACTTGGATTAGCGTCTGAAAATTTACATATTTTGAAATATCTCTCAGAAAATCACCTAAGTTTTTCCTTAATTTTTATACAGTTAAACAGCATAAATTTTTTGAGCTAGTTATTGATATAAAATATTACATTTTAGGATATATACCTTTGAAAATAAGCTGTTTTTCATATATTTTTTGCTTTAATTTAATATTGAATTATATTAGAATCCATTGTTGAAATTTAAACTTAGACTGATAACAGTGCATGCCTTTTTATATGCCTCATTCAATAACTTTAAGCTAATATTATATTTATAATATTCTTTTAATTTATACATTAAAATATCTTATTTTCTTTAAGCATATTATTTAGAATACTCTATACAACTCAACACTTAGCTCATTTTTTTTATTACATTTAATAACACTTAAGTCCTATTATATTTATTTTATTTACAATAATGATCATAGTTATAACTTAACCTTAATTTAAAAGTTTATTCATTATATATGTATTAATGGCCTCAACTAGCCCGAGTAATGTAAATAATTTATCGACTCCTGCAACACCATCAACTTCTTCGAATATCTCGATTATGACTACAAATTTGGACGAATCCTTATCAACTACTTAACATAATACACAGCCAACTTAAAACATTTAGGAGCGAATAACGCCAAGCATAAACTAAAGCGTTCCTAAAAGGAATTTCTGACAACTACGAACTAGGCTTCAGTCTATTAATCAAACGAGATCAACAAATCGTATCTCTTCAAGGTCAATTAGATATATATAAAATAAAAGTTCAAACTCAGCAAAAACTTATCGGAACTCAACAAAATCAAATTTTTACTCAACAGCTTCAAATCGATACTCAGCAAAAGTTTATCGATTCATTACTAAAACAGATTGAATCATCTACATCCACAGGACCTCAACAAGCTACTTTAACAAAAATACAAGCTTCTATCATTTCTTCAATACAAGTACCTAATGAATCTGAAGAACCGCCATTTTTGCTTGTAGAAAGTAAAAAAAGGAGACAACACCCTTAACAAAAGCCATCAGAATACGTTCTGATCATTTCCTCTAAAGACTCCAATAGTTCATCAAAACAGATACAGGACCATCTAGCAGAACAGCTAAATCCAATCAAATTAGGTTTTCAAACTCAGCAAATCTGACCAACTCGCAACCAAGAATTATTAATTCGTTGCAACTCCAAAGAGCACATCAATAAGCTAAAGAATTCTATTTCTGAGTCTAATAAACTTAATAACTCACTTTAAACAAGACAACCCAGGCCTATACAAGTACCAATCATTGTATTTAAAGTCCCCATAAAATACACACCTGAAGATTTCATCTCTGCCATAGAATGAAAATTACCTTCTAATAAAATTGGAGCAATAAATCCAAGAACGCCTCTACATCATTCAGATTCGATTAATAACTGGATCATTAATCTTGACAACGTATACAGTATTAATTTAGGAATAGAAGGAAGAATATATCTAGGCTTGAATTCGTGTGTGTACAGAAGATACATTAGAGTTCCAAGGTTTCTACAAATTGCCAAAAATTTGGTCATCATAGCCGAATTTGCAAAGGAGCACCTGTTTGTGCTTACTGTTCCAAAACCCATGATAATAAACTCTTTTGCAAAAAAAAAATCGAAGCACCATGAAGGATGTGGTTGTTTTTGATGAAATTGAATATGTGTATAGCTCATACACAGATAATAAAAGGATTAAAAATCAAGGTCATAATACTTGTTCACGGCTCACAATCACGCATTGAGTGTTCAAATTAGTAGCTTAGTCGAACCGCCCTGGCGGCAATGCATGCTTGAATTTGTTGAGGCAATGAGTGGTAGAGGCTCCTAATGTCATTCTGCGACACATTCTGCCAGGCATTCACCAGTTGTCGCTCCAGATATGCAATATTTTGTGGTGCCCGAATCTGGCGGCCTATCATGTCCCAGACATGCTCGATTGGTAAAAGGCCTGGTGACCTTGCTGGCCAAGGAAGAGTATCAGCTACGCAGAGACAGTCCAGAGATATGCGAGTGGTATGTAGCCTGGCATTATCTTGTTGGAAAATGGCCCCAGGACAACGGGCCATGAAGGGTAATGCAACCGGCCTCAGGATGGTATCAACATATCATTGAGCTGTTAAAGATGTACGGAGGATGACTTTCAAGATGACGGGATTCATGCTCAACACTAACGATGCCAGTCTGATGGCCCATGATGATTGGCTCGAAACCCTCCAGACCAACTCTGCCGATGTTGTGGGGTCAAAGGCAAAACGTCTTAAAGGCCTCTGTGAGCGTAACCCTGCCTCAGGAGGTGACCAGACGGTTGCTATAGTGCATTGAATGGTCGACAGTGATACCATTGGGGGCATTTGAACCTGGTATCCTTGCTTGCTTGCATTTGTGATTCTTGTCCTTCCAGAGCCTTCATTTCGTCGGCAATTTCCTTGTAGCAAGCATTGCTGCCACCATCTTTGCACAGCAGTGTGTGTACGCTGCAGGTGGCTGCCTGTTGCTTTCGCTGTGACCACCCAGCTTCATACAACCCTACAATGGGACCACATTTTAAGTCGTTTAGTTGTCTGTAAGATCTTCGATATCATCGTAATGGCATTTTTAGTTGCTTCTTGACGGAATTACAATGGCAGCAACAAAAAAAGATAAATGTTCCGCCTCTATTACTGGTTTTATATTTAACGAATTGCACACTAGAAATGCGCGCTATGATCGGAATTGCTGTTCATTTGCCTTGAAACTTTGATCATTTGCATGTTCAGTCAATATGTTTTTGCATACCAAATTTCGTCACGATCGCAAACCTTCTTAGTGCTTTGACTTTTTTTTTTTTTTTTTTTTTTTCAAAAGAGTGCATTTGCTCATGCGAAACTCCTGCGCTGCAGCTTTGCGGCCGGCTACGAGCATCCGTTGGCAAGCCACAGGCGCCGTTACGGAAACTTTGACCGTGTTAACATTTGTTTTTGAGTATTTAAAATGGCTCCGCTGACTGAGAATCCCACTGGCTATGAAATAGGATCGGTGATTCGTTTTCTTAATGTTAAAGATGTGAAAGCGACTGAAATTCATCGTTAGATTAGTGACGCATACGAAGAAAATATTATAAGCAATGGAATTGCACGGAGATAAGTTAGAGCTTTTAAAGATTTCCGCACGAATGTTCATGACGATGAAAGAAGTGGGCGACCTTCTATCATTACTAAAGATTTGGCAGAGAAAATTGATGAACGAGTGAAACAGAACAGCTGCTTTACAATTCCATCATTATCTGATGATTTTCCTCGGGTTTCACGCAGTGTTCTGTAAGAAATTGTGAACGAAGGCTTAAATTACCGACAATTATCGCATACTGAGTACCTAAAATGTTGACAGAGGTGCATAAAGCCAAGCGTTTAGTGAGTGCTTAGCTTTCCTTCAGAAGGGGATGAATGTTTAAGCCAAACTGTCACTAGCGACGAACGCGGCCTTACTCTACGCCAGAATCAAAGCAGCAGTCCATGGAATGGAAGCATTCATCATTACTTAAGAGAGTTATAAGGTATTTCTCCCGCCTTCTTACCATGTTTTCGTGGTGAAATGGTCATCAAACTCGGCGCGTTTTCGAGAGGTTCGAGTCCCCGCGAGGGCATTGCTCATTTTTCATCTCTTCTGCTTCGGGATATTCTTATGCTTCGGGAATAACCGAGAGATATTAATCTCTACAGAGTGAAGTTGAGGCAAACGATTTCAGTCCAGAAAATCATGTGTATTGTGTTTGGGGACAGGAAGGGGGAATGTTTCTTGGAAATTTTTTGCCTCGTAGTGACACAGTATATTCTACTACAATATTTCTATAAGGAGACATTAGACAAATTGCACCGTGCAATCCAAAACAAAAGACGTGTCATGCTGAGTAAGGGGGCGTTTTCCTTCGTGACAATGCCCGTCCACACGCGGCTAAACAAACTCAAGATCTCGCGTCATTTGGCTGGGAACAACTTGATCACGTCCTGTACAATCCCGATTTAATGCCCAGTGACTACCACCTGTTCCTACATTTGGAGAAGCACCTGGGCAGTCTTCACCACAACGACGATGATGAGGTCGATGTGTTGCAGTGGGTGTAAAATCAGGCGGCAGATTTCTGCGAAGAGGGTATTCAAAACCTGGTTGTACGATACGATAAGTGCCTCAATATTGTCTTGAATTATATAGAAAAATAGACTAAGTTACAGGCTTTCGTATAAAAATTAAATTGGTAAGAAAATTCTACTTGTTCCTTTTTTAATTCCAAGTAGACTTACCTTAAAAATATGCCTCGCGTTAAAAGCATGCCTGACTGACATATTATCACTGACATATGTATGTGTTAACATACATATGTCAGTGATAATAACATATGTATATGTATTATCACTGACATATGTATGTGACATAACATACATATGTCAGTGAAGTCAATTTACTTACTAGTGCCTCATAATTACTGTAATTCTATAATTCAGTTTATTCTGTAGTTTATCCAGTCAATTTACTCTAGCGCCTCATAATTACTGTCATTCTATAAATCAGTTTATTCTGAAAGCAGTCAAACCATTCTATATGATATATGCTAGCTAAACAGTTAAGAAGTTATCACAATACTGCCACAAGCCATCTTTTGGGGATAATTTTTTTTTTCTTATACTGTTATAAGTGATAATTAATGGTTTCCCAGTTTAGCACGGTTTAGGTATTTTAATAAAATATTATAACTATATTATTCACATAATTATGGAATTATTTTCACACTGCGCAGCCTGTTTTATCAAATATCAATTATTACTTACTATATTTTCATTTTAACTACTTTATGTTTTTGATATGAAAATATTTTACAATCCATGAAATCGCAGAGCCGATAAGCTAAAGGAATACTGTGTCTGAAAAGTGTGCAAAAAATTTAACTGATATCTTTAATACATAGTTAAGAAAGTGTTCTTTTTTTTTCACTCAGCTTTAGGAGCTGGAATGGACTTGACGTCGGAGCACATGATAATCATCCTGGTAGTATTCTTTTCGCTGGTCGTAGCCATGTGCGCGTCTATCTCCATCTCCTGCTATAACAAAATTAAGGAACGAAAGTTGCGAGAGAAAGAGTACAAAGAAAGACGTTCCAAAGAGGCTTCCGTCGAGGCCACCATAGAAAGAAACATTAGGGGACATTCCAGCCCAGACCGGGTCAGTGAAGTCAACCAAAAAAGACCGGCAGCATTTGACCAAGTGGCCGTCGGATTCAGAGACGAAGCAGACGACGAAGAGTCTTCAGATGGCTGCTACGTGCCTGAAGTGGATGTTAGCACCTATAAGCATCCAAATGGTAAGATATACCTTTTCTAGATTTTGGCAGGACAAACATGCTTCTGATTTATCCAATCCATATCGATCAAATTACGTATGAGTAATATTCAGTGTCCATCAATAAAATCATCCATCTAAGCAAATATTTCTTAACCATATTGTTGGTTATACTCGTGCTTTATAAAAATATGCAAGCTTGTAGGGTTTATAGTTATTTTAACTAACATTTATTTTAAGTTTAAACTATCTTTCCTGTCAATCCTTACTTCCCCTGGAACTGCCAATGCCAGAGTATGTAAATTTTAGTAGAACGCGCAAGGATTCAAATTGTCAGCGGAAGTAATCTGAGTTAAATAGAAGGAAACGAGTTCGGTGAGAGAGTGTTATTCTTGCTTCACGAGCGCGGAGGTAGTTAGTTAGAGAATTTGAAAAACCCGCGTTTCGGCCTGTGTGCTTGGCCTCGGAAGTAGTTGCAATTTTTCAACGTGAGCTTCAAAGTTTGCTGAATTAGCAGCGGTATTGTAAAACGCGGTGAGGTTAGTTACGTTTAGAGAGCCTCGTAGTTAGAATCTTGTCTTTATTTCTTTTTTTTTCAGTTTTTATTTTTATTTTACCGCCGGGTCGGCGTAGTTTGTGAGCGTCAAGAGCACGCATTTGTAAATTTCTAAGTTGAATAAAAAGGGACTTAAACCCTTTATAAGACTCTGTGGTTTATACCAGCTTTCACAGTCACCTCTTGGTTGCGTGCTAGTTGAGGCGCGCAACATTATATTGGCGCCCGAACACTTGTCGAACTGAAATGGCCGAAAATTGGATGGAAGTTGCTGGAGAACACCAAGAAATGGCAACGCAATTAGAAGGATTTGGATACCTGGTCCAGACGATGACAGCGTCAATCAAGCCAAACGTCAATTTCGAAGGAAAAAATTCGGTGGCGATATTTTTAGAATGCCTCGACAATCACTTCCAGCTCTACCCTGTGCCTGAAAGACAAAAAGTTGCCATCTCCACACATCTGCACTAAGAGGACAGGCCGCGCTATGGTGGAAAAATATAGGCAAATTTTTATTAGGGGAATTCGGAGGCCAGACATATACATTTGAAAATTTCAAAAAATCGTTATTAAAGGCCTTCCCCATAGTGAAAGATCGAGCAAGGCTGGAAGCCGAACTGTATAGTTTTTATCAACGGAATATAGAAGAGTTGACGGACTTTATTCTGCGAAAAATTAAGCTGACGGATATGCTGTATGGGAAGAAAACCCGACGCGGAGATTATTGAAATAATCTTACCAAGATTGTTACCTGCTGTTCAAGACTACTTCGAAATTAGAAACCCAAGCACATTGCAGGAGCTCTTCGAATTAGCGGTCAAGTTTCCAAAATCGCAGAATAGCGGAAAAAGCTAGAGGGGCATCGTATTCTCAAAGTATCCGAAGACAATCTTCAAATGAGGAAACCAGAAATGCAAACCGCTCTTATGGGGGAAAGTGCTATCAAGCAACGGTCATCGAAACTCGAAGGTCAAGGCCCAAAAAGAAAATTTGAAAACAACCGTCCGCGTACCCAGAAGGCAGAGATTGAAAGAAAAGCTTTAAACGAGTAGAGGGGCCTGTGAAAGCGAGGGTCCAGACCCCGGAAGTTTTGAAAAAACCCTCAGGAAGACACTAAATACGGTCATCGTAAAAAACTCACAGTTACCAATTATACAAGTCCTGGTTGGCGATGTACCAGTAGAAGCCCTCATCGATACAGGAGCAGAAGGTAATTTTATGAGTGATAATTTTTCAAAAAGAATTTTTAATAGGTTTCGATTATTTAAAAATAAAAACACAGAAATCATAGCAGCGCAAGGACAAACTTGTCATTGTATTGGGAAAACTATCTTTAAAAATTCAAGTTCAAAAACGAAAGCCTTAAAGTATTAATTTTTGTAGTAAAAATTCCAATTAATCCTTATTTTAGGTATGGAGTTTTTAAAAGGCCGCGAAGGCCAAACTGAATTTTCAGGAAAGTTCTATCGTGCTGGAGATGGATCGGAGGGTGGTGGAACCAGTGGAACAACCGCAAGTTGGACCTTAGCCATTTGAATGACCATGAAAGTCAAGCCATCCAGCAAGTGGTGAGTACTTTTTCTCAACTTGTTTTCAGAACGGCCTGGTAGCTGTCAAATAGTTACGCTCATGAGATACAGTTAACTGCCGACAAAACCCTGTAGGACTAAACCTTACCGCTATGATAAACAAAAAGACCAAATCATAGAAGAACATATTCAGGAAATGTTAAAGAACAAAATAATAACGCCCATAAATAGTGAGTACGCGAGTCCAGTCGTACTATGTAAGAAAAAGAACGAGTTTCCTCCTTCGGATAAAAGGGCTTGGAGGTTTGCTATCGATTACAGAAAACTTAATAGTATTACTAAATTCCCAGTTTACCCTTTGCCGGTTCTAGAGGAAATTATTAGAAAGATTAAATCTACAAGATACATGACTACTTTGGACTTAACGTCTGGCTACTATCAAATAGCTATGAGACCCGAAGACATACATAAAACCGCGTTTATAAACAAAATCGGGCACTTATGCATTTTTACGCATGTCCTTTTGGGTTGTGTGGGGCCCCATCAACATTCCAGAGAGCTATGGACATTGTTCTAAAGCTTGTCCTAGGAAAATCGACTTTAATCTATCTAGATGATATAATTATAAAGAGTAGTATCTTGGAACAACATATTAAAGATCTAGAAGAAGTTTTTAAATTATTAAAAGAGGCCGGTCTTACAATTAACGCCTTAAAATGCAAGTTCGCAACTAAAGAACTTAAATATCTGGGTTATAAAATTTCGCAAAAGAGTATAGAAACTCAAGATTCAAAAATAAAAGCAATCAAGAATTTCCCACCTCCCAACACCGCCAAGAAAATTTCTCTTTCCTTGGTTTATGTTCTTATTATCGGCCATTCATAAAAGATTTTGCTAATATTGTTGAACCCTCTTAGTAATTAAAAGAAAGAAAAGTAAATTCATGTGGACAGCAGAAGCAAATACCGCATTCGAAAGGTTAAAAGAAGCGCTTATCAATGCCCCTGTTTTAAAAAAATTCCCGGAGGGGGACGAAAACCTGGAAATTGCAGGCAGATGCGTCGGACTATGCTGTGGGTGCGGTTCTTATGCAAAATGGCCATCCTTTGGCAATTTTTTTTAGTAAAACGTTGAATCATACACAAAGGAATTATACAGCTACAGAGAGAGAAACATTAGCCGTATTAATGGCTGTACACAAATTTCGAGTTTATTTCGGCAAAGCGCCAGTAACAGTCTTTTCGAATCATGCGGCTGTTGGTAGACTTTACTCGGGAAAAAAACCTTACGCCCAGGTTAATAAGATGGGCTTTAAAACTCCAAGAATATAATCTCATAATCAAATATAAACCGGGTAAGGAAAACAATGTAGCTGACGCACTTTCTCGTATAAAACTGGACGATGAAGGCAATGAACTTAAATGCGCTGTGTTGACTTCAAAAATTTTAGATTCTAGAGATACAATTATTGCTGAATTGAAAGCTGATCCTGAATTTGGAAGTATCTATGCGTATTTGAAAGACCCCGAAAGCTTTGAACACACAGATATCGATGAGATAAGAAATAGAGCAGAAAACTATGAAATAATAGATAATTTATTATTTTATACGAAAACAAACAAACGAAAATCTTGGAATACAAACCAGTCATCCCAGCCTCGCTTCGATTAAGCATTTTGATGGAATTACACGACGCGAAAAAAAACAGCGGGTCATTTAGGGGTCAGAAAGGCTTTAAAAAGGGTACGCGAAGCGGTATATTTCCCGCAATTATACAAAATAGTAACTGCGTATGTCAGGTCCTGCAATAAATGTCAGTTAATAAATGATATTAATTACAGCCCGGCCGGGTACTTAAATAGCATTCGCGCTACATTTCCGAATGAAATTTTAGGCATAGATCTTCTTGGTCCTTTCCCCCAGAGTGAGTTAAATAAAAATCGTTTTCTTTTAGTAATTGTAGATCATTTTTCAAAATGGCCAGAAATTCTTCCACTTAAACGCGCGTCAGCCAAAACAGTCGCAGATGCATTCTTACACAGATACATTTTAAAATACGGTGCACCGAAAAAAGTACATTAGCGATAACGGTAAAACAATTCGTTAGCCAAATATTTGAAAACATATGCACTGGACTTGGCATATACGCCATATCAAAATGGTTCCGTATAGACCACAGGCAAACATAGCAGAAGGAGTTAATAAAAACATTGTAAAAATAATTCCAAGTTATGTTAGCACACATCACAAGCGCTGGGATGGCTACATAAATGAATTAGCTTATGCTTTAAGAACGGCAAATCACGATACTACGGGAAAAAACCCAAGCAGAATTATTTTTAGGACGAAAGTTAATTACGCCATTAGATAAATTATTCTTTGTGCAACAAAGAGAGCAAGAATTTAAACAGAAAGATGTGCAAACACTTATTGACCAGGCGGTTAAAAGATCGGATACGGCAAGAAATAGGCAAAAGTTTATTATGATAGAAAACGCCGTGAAGCAGATTTTAAAGTTGGAGATAAAGTGTTGAAGCGGAAATTTTCTTTATCAAGTGCCCCAGACAATTTTACTGCAAAGTTAGCTCCAAAATTTGAAGGCCCTATGTAATTCAGGAAATCAAGGGAGTCGTATTGTACCTTAAAAACGAGAGAGGGGAAATCTGTAAAGCAAGTCCCGACCAGGTGAAAAAATATTATAATCAAAATGATTTTGAAATCCTTAAAAGTTTCTTGCAGGACTCAAGCGTAAATGAAGTAGAAGGTCCAGAAACTCAACAACCGTTCCACAACCCAAGAAGCAGAGAAACTGAAGAGAGAACCTAGCCGTTCTATATTCTACAACCCGGACGACGGTACCGAAAAAGAAAAAATGAAAACGTCAGACTCCAGCATTTAAGAAATACAAGAAGCACAGATGAACCGCCGCGTAAAGAC